CACACACTACACCAGAACACAGACAGAGTTCTAGCTCCTGTTCTCTGAAGATGCCAGACACAGAGACTGGTGAAACGTTACGAAGAAAAACCTCCAGAAGATGGCCAAACAGCCCTAAAACCCCACAACAACCATTAACAAAAACAATTCACTTATTTAAAGCAAAAATATTTGCATTTTGTTTGTGATATAGCTTTGTACTGTGGGCTCCTGCAAGGATGAACTCCAAAGACACACATGGTATACTCTAGTTAAAGTTAAACACCCCTATCCCATTACTTTCAAGTAATGATAAGGGGTTAATCTAAATGCATAAAGCTCAAAAGTGCTTCAGTTTAGTTGGGTTGTACTACTTCTCCTGCTATTGTGAGGCTGAAATTATCTCCGGGGAAACATCCATCTTAAACTGTGTGCTGCAATAGTAATTTGGAATGGTGCCTATGTGAACTGGAAAACCAAACACACTGAATTCAAAAGGGGGGGGGGAGGAAATAAGTCACATTAAGTTCAAAGGTACTTAATATCAGAGAAGTGTATATAGGGGGAGCTGTCTGCATAGCTCTGTGGTTTAGGTATGTGACTATAGAGTCAGAGGTTGGGAGTCTGATTCCCTACTAGGAGAAGAGCCAGTTTGTGTAGCCTTGGGCAAGCTGCACAGTCCAAGGTGCCCCCAGAAGAAGGGAATGGTAAATCACTTATGAGTATTTTCTACCTAGAAAACCCTGGAAAGTGTTGCTGTACATCAGAATCAACTTGACAGCATGCGGTTACTATTAAATGTGTATAGAACTACAGTATAGCCTTAGAGGGACACTTTGCTTTTTAAATCAGACTTCAAGTCTAGCCTCAATTCCAGTTCAAGGTAAAAGATCAGTTAACCCTTTCCTATATGCTTGTTTTTCTCCCCCATTCTCTTTGATGATCAGATAGGGATCTCTAACTTTTAATAGTTGCACATTTCAGGACATTTTGGTAGGTTCAGTCTTTCATATTTTACTGACCTCCCTCCCAAAATACTAAAAAAGGAAAAGGCAGTGGTGCCTTTGGCTGGAGTATACATTTAAGACCAATGCTTTGTGCACTTCTGCCCAGTCAAAACCCATGATCTGTCATTCTTTTGTGTGTACCAAAATATTCCACTTTAAACTGGAATAATTCAGTACTGGAAAAATCCAGTTGCATATTATTTCTGCATTTGGCAGGCTCCGCTCACCAAGTTATTATTGCTACCATGATTTCTCTGGATCTCAGTGCATCCATTTGCAGTTTCCTTTAGCACCTCCTTTTGTTAATTATATGCTTCCATCACATGTTCTTTCCATTTTGACCTCCATAAGCCTTTCTGTTTAACAAGTTTCTTTTCTCTTACCCTTCCTTCTGGTGACAGTTTGTCCCCCTTTCCCACTGTGCTGCTTAAGATCATTTTACATTGTGGCATACCAATGCTGCTACTTCTTTAGCTCACTTACTATAGTACCTGTTGTAGTTACCTCTGCCCCGGAACAAACTGGCCCTTTCAATTCTTTCATGCTGATAGCACTTCTCAACATGCTTTATACTCCTTGCCCATCTAGCTTATCCTGTGAGAACTTATCCCAACCAAATTCAACTTTTACTGTTTTCCAGAGAAGCTGGTCTATTGATGGCCCATTCTCTCAGCAAAAATATTAAGAACATTCCAGGATACAATGGTAGCTCAGCCAACTGGTATCAAAATGTTATGTTACCACGAACACAATAAAATCTTGCCATATGGTCAGATTATCTGAACCATACGAAACTTAACAATATTCTACCCCATGCCCTGGCATTACATATTCAGGTAAATAAATTGTTTACAAGCTTGGATATGTCCTAGAATAAACCATGATAAACAATTTGCATGCTCTGGTCATGTTTACATGACATAGTTACCACAGGTCAACACTTATGTTGGATATTTGTCAGCAGTACATAATTTGTAAGCACACATCTCTATTATCTAACTCAAGGATAGGCAGGTACATCCTGTGGGCTCCATGTGCTCTTCAATGCCCAGCCCATTAGAAAAATGACATCCCCCCCAATTCTATTATGTTCTGTTTGCTCAGAAAATCCTTCTGTATCCTCTAGAATAGTTGCAGAAAATCCTTCTGTATCCTCTAGAATAGTCGTCCCCAACCTTTTTGTCACCACGGACTGGTTGGGGGAGGACGGGTCTGTGTGCAAGGAAGGCGGGACAACCCTCGTGCTTGTGCAAAGGAGTGGGGGTGCTCGTGCAAGCGCACATGTGTGCACTTACACGCATGCATGCATGAAGGGGCAGGGGAACTGCAGCATGTGCACACACATGTGCAAAGGGGCAGGGAGGTGCTCACGGGGGTGCGTGCACACTCACACAGATGCATAAAGGGGCTGTGCAGGGGGGAGTGCTTGCGGGGGTGGGTGGGAGATCTGTCTCCACGGCCTAGTCCAGCCCAGGCCACAGACCGGCACTGAGCCCCGGGCCGGGGGTTGGGGACCCCTGCTCTAGAAGGCGTGGGAAGCAATTTTGCAATGTTCCCTTTCTTGCACTCCTCTTTGCAAATGTTTTGAACTTTTTCCCACCAGAGTACATGCCATGATATTTTCAGGAGGGAAAAAAGGCCAGATCCTCAAATCCAGCAACAGGAAGTTGACAGCCTGCCTGCCTTGATTTAACTGAGTGACTCCCCTAGACATGAAAAATCCCTCCCCCCTGCCCCATCTCTCTCCTCCTCTTCCATGGCTATGCATGTACATGTACTGTATGTGCATCTCTTCCCTTCCCTCTTCACTGCCAGTGGCTTCCACTGAGCGTTTTTCATTTAGCATTAATCTTCTAAAGGAGCAGTATGGAATAGTTGAGAGCCTGCCTGCTTTGCTTCCTGCTATTTCCCCCTGTCTTTCTCCTTTCTGTAAATGTCTGTGTGCCTTTCCCTCTCTCTCCATCTGCTTGATGGATTAGCAATTTAATGCTAATCTACTAAAGAAAAAAATTGAGATCTAGCAGAGATAATTTTTAATGGCCTCTTCAAACTTTTGGGAAGTAGGGGTTAAGAATAAATGCAACAGAAATCCCAGTAGGATCCATGGGCA